CCGAAAGCTACCTCTCCCGAATTCTCGATACGAAAGGTTACCCAACCTATATTTTTTTTGTGATTTATTGATTGATTTATTGATTTATTTATTGATTTTTAAGTTTTTAGTCAATATTGCCTTTTGGGGGGGACTGTTGGATATTTCATTGAGAAAAAACAATTTTACCTTTATGTTTAGTCCCACATTAAAAATAAAATAAACTCTCTCTCCCTCAACCCTATAGACACACACACCCCTTATTCACATTCTAAAACACAAGAATATAAAGTTTTTCTCCTCTCCTATGGTTTCAAAGAAATTGTTTTTCTCCTCTTAAAATTTTGTTATTTTTATGGGCAATCTTCTTCATCTGAGCTGAAGCTCTGTACTCTCGCCCGAGTACAGAGGTCAGCCGCTTTTGGGGATTTATATCGCTAGGGGAGAGGGGATCATCTGTGCCAGGGCGATAGGGGAGTCCTTAATCTTCTAGGGTAGTGATTACACGACTGCTCCCGTCAGATCAGTTTTACTATTTACTTTAATTTTGGATTTTATGAATCATAACTTTGATTATGTTTCTAACAAATATTGGCGGTGACGATCACTCCCAACATCAAGCTCTCCTCGTGTAGAGGTAAAGAAAGATGCAACAAGTAGAGGTATCCAAGTCATGTACGGATTTACATAGAGCCTAGGGGTGCAGTTGCGCCCCTAGAATATTTCCAATTAGTATCTAAGGCTAGTTAGATTTAATACCCCACCCAGAATTTTGAAAGCCCAACCTATTTCAAGCACTAAAGTTATTAGTACCAACACTTATCTTGAAAGCTCAAGCCTATTTAAGTTTCCAACAATAAAATTATATATATTGGCCCAAATATTGTAAATTCAAACTTACAACAATATAAACCCAAAAGCAAAAATAGTACTAAAACCCAAACCCATTAACCTATTCTTCAAACTTCATATTGATCCCAAATTGGGATCAAAGTAAGTTTTATAAAATTATTTTTTTATTTTCAGATATAAATATTTGTTGTCCTCCCTAATAAAATTTTTCTAGATCCAATATATTGTAGTTTCAAAAGGCGAGATCATCCAAATTACAATCTTTTTCATGGACAAAGATTGCCAAACACACTCTCTCACAATACCCTTGAACCCGGTTACACCCTCTAAAATCCTATTTACAAGAATATTGTCTCTCTCCTTCTCTCTACTCTAAAATCCTAGAATAGGACGCCTTACTTAAAGACACCCCTGACTTGCCCGCCAATTTAACTTGGTCTCTAAGAAAAGTACTATGACTGAGCCTAGCCTTCAAACCCGCATCGGACTCGGAGTTTGAGTCGGTACCCAATATATCCTCCTTCGACGAAAAATCTCCAACGGTTTCAGAAAAACTTACTCTCTTCTTCTTGTTCTTCACCTCTCTCTTGTGAACAAATCGCCCATCTAAATAGCAGACATGGCTGCTATTCTTTCTCTCTTGTAAAATCAAATCACCATCTTTATACACTTTGCACCACTCTCCTTTATCCACATACTTGTACCCAAGTGATGCCATCTCACCCAAAGAAATTAAATTAGCACCATATGACAGCATATATCTCACATGATGAAAAATTCCGACCTTTCCAGTGTTAAAATTGAGGTAAACACTCCCAACGCCTTCAACCTTCATCTTCTCGTTGTTTTCAACAATTACGTTGTTAAATTCTTTATCTGTCTTCAATGTGCCAAAATAATTTTTATTGTTACAAACGTGCATAGAGGCCGCATAATCTAACACCCAAGTGTTACTCGTATCAGTACCTGTATTCTACATCAACATCACCACATCTTCATCACACATAACTATCGAGGAGTCCACCTTCTTCCCATTTTCTTGAAGCTTCATCTGTCTAATTATAAAACCCCAAAAAATTGAATATTATATGATAAATAATAATAAATATGTTAAATAGTGAAAATAACATATTTTGATATTTGAGTATGATAGGAATTGATTTGATATCAATTCAATGTATATTTGTGAAGATATGAGTGCAAATGCACAAAATATGCATGAAGAAGAAATCTGGAAAAATAACTAGTTAATAATTTATATGTTTTTATCACCGATACAGTTAGAATCTGAGAAAACGTAAAAGATAAAAGTTATAAGTATCTTCAATAGCTTTTCAAAAAATCTTAAATCACCTCATTCCGAGGTCAGATGTGAAAGTTACAGCCAAAATACTAAATATAATTTTTAGAAACTTTTTGTAGTCTACTACTCAGAGTAGTCGACTATCGGGAATTTTCTTGGGCTAACAGGTTACAGATTTTGAGTTGAATTCGTTTTTTCCAGTCCAATTTATAACCGAACTATATAAATGTGTTTTAAACCCAATTTATGAGATATTTCACAAAAGATCACAGCCATCATCTCCCTTCAAACCCTAGAACTTGTTCTTGGTGTTCTTCAAGGAGATTTGAGGCGAGTCGTTGAGCGAAGGGCGAGATCACATGCTTTTAAGCAAAGAGGGATCTTGCACGTGTGTCTAGAGGCTCGACACGATGTTTCAAGCAAGATCACTTGTATCCAAACCTGCACCCTTAGTTAATGAATGATTTAAAGTGTTTAAATCATTGTTTTACATGCTTATTTATAACCCAATGTGTTAAATGAGATTGTTGATGATAGATCTTAATAAAATGCTAGATCTAATGTTTTATCTTGTTGTTTATAATAAAAATATGATCATGATCAATTGGGTTGTGTAGATCTTCGTTTGTAACTTGATTTCTATGTGTTAATCATGCTTACAACCTAAACTTGTGATATAAAGGGCTTACATGTTAATCAAGTATGATTAAACCCTAGGTTTGGAAATTTTTTGTCCTATAAACGTGAACAAATGAATTTATATAAGTTTTGAGTTTAATATGCAAGCATGTTTCATGTTGACCAAATAGAAAATTAGGGTTTATGTCAATTTCTTGATAAATAAGAAGATTAAACCTAAATTGTTGAATTAAGGGTTTAAATAATCATGGAGATGATTCTTTTGATTTGTAATTACTAGTTTTGCAATGTATTAAAGCATGATTTACACGTGTCGATTGCTAAGAGTTGTATGTACACGAAGCTGTGTATGTTTTTACTCAGTAGTCGACTGCTAATGTCCAGTTTGGTTTTTACAGAATCTGTCTGATTATAGAGTAGTCGATTAGTGTACAGTATAGTTGAACAAACAATTTACTTCTAATGTTGATTCATGTATTACAGAGTCTGAGTAGATTCAGTGTAGTCTGTTAGCCTTCTTGTTTTGATGATGTTTAACAAACAATTTACTTCTAATGTTGTTTGTTTTGTGTTTGTATAATTCTATTTAGGGGCCGTTTGGTTGGTTTCCTAAAAACCAAGAAAATGAAATCGGTACAAGGAAACCAATAAAATAATATTTTTATCCATTTTCATCCCTAAAACTCACCCACAACATCTAATAAAATAATAGTTTTATCCTCTAACTCATCTCATTTCATCTCATTTCTTACCTTTAAAAATAAACCAAACACAAGAAATGTGTCACATCATCCAACTCATCACATCTCATCTTATCTCATTTTTAAAAAATCACACACATCATCCAATAATATTGTGACAACTCATCTCATTTCATTAAACCTTCCTTTCCATCCATTTCCTCAAAAAAAAAAAAAAGAAATTGATTTCCTTAAGTATGTGTCACATCATCCAATAATATACCTTCAACTCATCTCATCTCATTTATTTTCTTATTTTTAAAAATGAACCAAACACAAACAACCACTACAACAGAAATGCTAATCCGTGAGGAACAAGTTTATCGTTGAAAGTCGAGATTTCCTCGCCGTAGTGTGTTGGCGAGGAAAAAACTTTGGTCACCATTTCCTCGCGGTAAGGTGGTCAAGAAAAGTTTCTGCGAGTAATATTATAATTTCTCACGAAATCCTTTTTGCGATGAATATATTCTTTTCTCGTTGTTACTCTTTAGCCTCGATATTTTTCCTCACCTAATCTGATGCCTTTTTCATCGCTAAACTACAGTTTCCTCACCAATGATATGTGAATAATATTTAATTTATATATAATAAAAGTTCTAAAAAAACTATTTTCGTCGTTGTAAGTACCTTTCAACGAGGAAATTATTCCTCACCAAAGGTAAATAATTAACGAGGAAATTGATTTTCTTCATTATATGTATCTTTTTCTCGTGGAAACAGTTCCTCTGTAAAGAGACTCAAAGATGAGGAAATTTAAATTTGTCGTTGTAGGTTGTACCTCATATTCCTCACCAAAGAAATTCAATTACGAGGAAATTTACATTTGTCGATATAGGTTATATGGTCTATAGCGAGGAAAATTACTTTTGCCGTTATAGGTTGTATCACTATAGCGAGGAAATATGTTTTTAGGTTATATGGTCTATAGCGAGGAAAATTACTTTTGCCGTTATAGGTTGTATTCACTATAGCGAGGAAATATGTTTTTGTCGACGTAAGCAGTATACTCTATAACGAGGAAATATTCTTTTAACGATATAAGTATGTGACCTATTGCGAGGAAACATATTTTCGTCACCTTAAGTTGTAGGGTCTATTTTGAGGAAATTTACTTTCATCGACCTAAATATATAGCGAGAAAACTTATAATGGGGAAATTTTATTTCATCAATAATAATGCTATTACAAGAAAAACACAAAATATAAATAATTATCATTAATTGTCACTACAGTACATCAAAACAATTAAAATAAATAAAGCAAGAAAGGTACTACCATAAGTAACAATACTAGTCTAAAGCAATAACAAATGCAACACGATCAAAGAAACATTTCTCCATGTTTAAGTCACTAAGAATACTAAGCTGATGGATGTTGCCTCGAAAAATTAGCCATAAACTCCTCAAATTTTTTTGGCTTGCTCCTCCAATCTTTGGATTACCTCATTTTGCGCATCGATCTTCTATTGTTGAGTTCCTACAAGTTGTTGGGTCTCTTGAAGCTATTCTTGCAACTCTTTATTCGTTTCAGACATTTTACTCATTGAAGAACGAGAGAACCTTAATGGTGGTGGTCTAGGGCCAAAACCACAGCCCTTAATGTAGCCTGATTTGACTTTGAGAACTTTTGCACAAATTTCCTCATCTGTCATTGTTCGAGTTCCATCAGGTTGAGTGGTATCTGCTCACATCTTTATCATTTGATCCTATCAGTAAAAATATATATATATTCAGTTCAATCATATGCAACTTCTTAATTACAACCTAATCAATATAATCCTCTTTAGAACAGTAATATCAGTTTCACCTATATTCTTAAAATATTATAAAAGCATGCATCATTGACACGTTACTTACCCATTTTTCCTTTGCTCCCAAGTCCCATCCTTTTTTTGTACTTCTATACTCTGTTTCAAAACGATCAATTGCACATTGCATCTCTCCAGTCTGTGTTGCCTATTGCATTCAACCATGTTTTCATTTTTAGCATATATATATGTACACAATTAAGTTACAAATTTATAAGCAAAACTAAAAAGTGTCTTACAATTTGCTCTTGGTGTGACATAAATGATTTTGACCCAGCTTTGTGGTGATATGTCAACTTTGACCTATTAAGAACATTCTTCTCTGAGCGAATCTAAAATTATTGAGACATACAGTTAGAAAGAAGTAAATGAAAATAAAAAAAAATGTAATGCGTGGAGAAAAATAAAAAAGATATTGTACCTTAAACTTTTCACTAGAAAAATGAGTGCAAAGAAACTCCCATTCTTCCTGAGTCTTGACAGCTTCATGTTTGTTTTCAATTGCCTCCTCAATTGTTGAAAACTGCTCAAAATGTTTCTTTAACTTATAACGAAAATTACAATATACGGTCTGACATGTTGTAATTACATATCTCTGGACCCAAGGGAGCGACATATCAAATTCAAATTTATTCTGCACAGGCATAATTTCATGTCAAACTAAATATAACAAATCAAAGCAACCAATATAATGCCTTTAGCAAAACAAATCATCACTAACCTGCATTCTCTTGATCAAGTTCTCCACATCTGCTTTTTCAATCTTCTTCCATTTTTCCACATTCAGTGGGGGCGTAGTTTCGAATTGTGTAACCAATATCATTTGCAAACATCTCAGCATAAGGGCCCGTAGCTCTGCCATTTTCTTCAGTCAGAGTCACAGGTATTTTAGAATTCAATTGGGAGAACACCTTATCTGCATTCACTCCTCTTGTCTTCCCTCGCACCTTTTTGGTTGTACCTTTGACATAATTTTTATTAAGAACATAACACATACGTATATTTAATTCTCAAAATATTTGTATATAATGTTTTGTATACCTGAAGGAGGCTCCTGATTAATATCTGACATCACATTATCATCTCGCTCTTCAGCTATGGTGTTTACCACTGGCTGATCATTAACACTTTGTTGCTGAAGACGTGCACTAACTCTAATCCCTGTCATTCAAGTTTGTAGTTTAGGTATACCCTTGTAATTTGCAATTGATAAAAATGAAATTCAATTCAGCTTCTCTGCACCTTTTAGAGGAAAATAATTCAATTCTGCTCAATTCAACTGAATTCAACTCAATTCAACACCACTTACCAGTAGTAGTTCGTTCTGTGGTGACAACAGTACTACTAGAATTCAGTCCATCTGCTACAGAATTTTGGCATTCTTGATTGGAAGTTTGCAGACGAGTACGTTTTGTACCTATTAGCATACACACTTGTTAGATAAGTAAAAACTAACAGTACTTAAATATTCTAGCAGTAAAATGAAGATTGCATATTTACTCGGATTAGAACCGGGTCCATTCCCCGTAGAATTCACGTATGGCAGATAACTAGTTGCTGCATAAGAACGTTTCTTTTTCAATAATTCTGCATGTGATTGATTACTTGGTGCATTACCTGTTGTTACATAAACGTTAAATTGATAATAATATTCTAATCAACCAAGTGAATGAATCATGAATTATAAGAGAAATATGCACTACTTACCAGAAGTAGAACTCTGAACGGTAGGCGTTTTGTTACGGTACATCTTCTCACTGTTTATTATCAAACAATTAGAAAGGTCAAAATGCACAAAATTCCGTTTATATACTAAAACTTACATTGGAAATGAAGGAGATGACCTCTATCCTACTGGATCGCCAGAGTTTGAAGCCATTGATACATTGGATGGAGATGTAAGACTCTTTTGATAAAACTATCTCATGTTTCTCCCTTATTTATCCATATTTTCTTTTTTGATCATGGAACATGTGTGTGTGTGTGTGTGTGTGTGTGTGTGTGTGTGTGGCTAATCAAGTACAGCCCTGGCATGATGAAGAACAAGCTGAAGCAGAAAATCGGGATGTTGAGACCTTAACAGAATTTGACAATTTGTTAAAAAATAATTTATGTCTTCGCACGTGCATATGCACACGCACATGCAGCAATGCTAGTAATATATAGTTATATATGTGCCTTAAAATCCCTACACAACATTTTCCTTCATGCAAGGTATTCTACTAAAACTATCATGTCATGAGAAAAAATTCTTGAGATCAGGGAACAGATGCTGGCACTCCTCAGATATGTGAACATAATCAGGAACAGAATATAGTAAATTCATAGTAAGTTAGTTATACACAATTTTCATATCTTGGTAGTTAGTTATATTCTTGAGATCAGATGCTGGCACTCCTCAGATATGTGAACATAATCAGGAATAGAATATTGCACCCCTAATATGCGCTGTCTATTTGCTTGAGTCTGTTCTTCTTCTTCTTCTTCTTGTTTTTTCTGTGTATTTTTAGTTATGGTTCTTTGATTTGTAAAGTATGATTTTTGTACTTTTGTGGTTGAATACTGTGTGACATATAAAATTTTGCATTAATCGTGATCAGACTGACATCACTCTTGGTTTATCTCTGCTCAATTACTATGCTCATGTTAGTAACTAGACTTGAGAGTTTTAAGGTTTCAATAAACGCAATTAGGCAATACTCTCAACTATAATTAAAGCCCAAAACTAGTATTATCCCATTCTAATTACTTATAAAACATTAATATAATATGTGAACCTAATATGCGTTGTAAAAATAGAAAATTAATCAAACTGATCTAACAATGGCTCATATGACAAGAAGATAAAATCTAACCTGTATTGTCTTGCGAAAATTCCTAGGTTCTTCAGGGTCCTCAAATGGATATGCACCCACTAACATGACATATAGAGTAACTCCACAGGACCATACATCTGCAATCTGTGACGTTTATAAGCTAAAGTACATCAGTAGAAAAAAGAGAATTCTGGACGGCTAATAATATTAGGAAAGAGAAAATGCCTTCAACACTAGCACAATGAACAACTAGTAACAAGACATAATGCACAACAATGACACAAAGCTATGAAAGCTTCCATCACTGCTGTAATTATAAATAGAGCTTTGCACAATATGTCAAATACAATATACATACTTTTCCCTCAAAAAGAATAACATCTAACTGGTGAGATTCATATGGCACCATAAACAAAAATAAAAATTCGCCAGAATGCGACTGTAGTTCTACAGCAAGCTACCAAGTACCAACATAAGCAGCATACAAAGTCTAGAATGTAAAGTTAATGAAACGGTATAAAAATGATATCATTTCAAGTTACTAGGAAAAATAATATGGTTTTATGATTGCAATGAGTCAATACTTGGACCACATTTATCCTAAGTGAATCGAAACAGTATCATATCAACAAATCAAAAACATTTCGAAAATTGGGGCATATATAAAGATTGTAATGAACTTTCTTGAGTAGAAATTAATGGTGGCTGATAATAATACCAAGATATGAAAATTAGATCAGAAGTATATATGATAGAAGAAAACCTTGCTATATGTGGTATGTGCTTGATACTATCAGAAAAGAGCAAAAAAACCATTTTGTTTTTTGCAAGAAAGTAAAATAAATTCAAAGATAGAGAACATAATGCAAAAAACATTGCAAGGACTTCATTGCTCTTCACGAAAGGGAATATGGATGATATATCCTGAAACCATTGTAACATTACAGAGCTCCTATGAAAATGGGAAATAGACAGAGAGAGGAAACTGGGACTAACAAAGCTATAAAGAACACAATATACCATATGAAAAGGCAAATGTGGCAACAGACATGCAACTGCGACATGGATATGGAAGGGTTAAAGGCTCTAACAATAAGCTGGGGAATACATGTAAGATCTGAAACTGGAGAAATAGAAGAAAAGGCTGGACAAGTAGCATCCAGACTTATTGGAAACATCCTCACGACATGGATTCAAAAACTACTTACAATTATAGCTACTAAACCACTTTCAACAAATGACAAAAAGAAGGAGATTTTACTACTAATTCAAGCATCACCCTCTTAATCTTGCAACGTAATCGCATCATCAAGAAAAAATAACAGTAAAATTATACCTACATTTATCAAATTATGTCAAACTAAAACATCTCGCACAAAAAAAAACATTAAAATTATGATATAAACTAATCACTATCCTCATCATCACTTGAAATGATTGGTTCTTCATCACCATCTTCCGGATCATCTTCTTCTTCAGTATCATCATTTATCAAATTATCTTCACTACCATCATTCATCCAATCATCGTTCACAACCTCTGAAGCAACAATTTCTGGGTCAATATCATTAAGATGCAATTCTGGAGTTTCAAGGCCCTCTTCTTGAACGAACCAGTGAACATCATTAAACTCGTCTTGTTGATAAGCATCATTTGTTACAGGATCTACATCATCCTCAACTATCACTCCACTTGTATCCTCGACCTTCGGAACATCCCACACGTTTCTCAATTGCACCTTTTGTACAACTTTCCAGGGTGAACCCAACTTACAGTCATCGAGATAAAACACTTGTTGGGCTTCCATAGCAAGTATGAATGGTTCATCATCATACCACATAGAGCTTGTATTAATGCTAGTAAGATTATAATCATACCGTATCATTCTTCTCCTTTCGTCTCTACTTGATTCATCGGTGTTGAACCATTTACACTTGAATAAGAAAACTTGATTCATATCTAAGTACGTTAACTTCACAATACTTAGCAAAACACCATAATAATCATGACTTCCGCCAATAAAAACTCCAGGGACATACACCCCACTATTTTGAGTTGTCCGATGATCATCAAGATCTTTTGTATGATATCTAACTCCATCCACGATACAACTAGTGTACGTATGAACATGTAAATCTGGTTTACATGCTAGACAATAAAGCTTCTCATCGGTTGCATCTATCAATCCATTTTCTCTCTTTTTAATCATCTATGAATAACAATTGAAACAAGAAAGTTAGCATAGTGGTCATATACAATAACTAACTACTCTTTAAAATTGTGTATGAACTTACTTTTTTTTCAAACCAATCAGGGAACTCATTTTCTTGTCTTTCATACAACTTATGGTTACTTGTTTGCCTTAACTCATCCTCATGTTCCCTACAGGTACAAATTAGATAATTCAATCTTTAATCTGAATTAAAAAAATTAAACTCAATACACACAAATGCAAAAAAAGACACTTACTTAAGATAAGGTTTCACCTCGTCACAGTTGTATAGTACATACCAATGAGCTTTATTCACTTCCTTCCGGTCTAATAGTATATATTTTTTCCGCAGAATGGACGAACTTTCTGAGAGAAAATCGATAAACCATCTACTACTTGGTCATCTTCTACATCGACATTTCGTTCTGCCCGATTGATACGGGTTTCAATCTCACGAAAATACATAGAACAAAATGTCACTGCTTCATTGACAATATATGCTTCTGCAATAGAACCTTCAGGTCGAGCTTTATTTGTAACATACTTTTTATATGTTCCTAAATTTCTCTCAATAGGATACATCCACCGATAGGTAACTGGACCACCAAGCAAAGCTTCACGAGGTAAATGGACTGCCAAGTGAACCATTACATCAAAAAAAGCCGGTGGAAAAATTCTCTCTAATTTGCACAATATTATAACAATCTCCTTCTCCATTCTTTCCAAGTCTGACACCTTTAAAGTTTTTGCACATATCTGTTGGAAAAAAATGGCCAGCTCAACAATTGCAGTGCACACATCCTTGTCCAAATATGAACGAATACCAACTGGGAGGAGGCGTTGAAGTAAAACATGGCAATCATGATTTTTTAAATTATGTATCTTCCCATCGACAATGTTCACATTTTTACAAATATTAGCAGCATACCCATCAGGAAATTTGACAACTTTGAGGAACTTACAAAACAGCCTACGGTATTCCAATTTCAAAACATATCTAGCATGAGGCTTCTTCAATTTATTCCCTTGACGTGTGAGATGCAATTCTTTTCTTATCTTCCTATCTGCCAAGTCCAAACGAGCCTTGTTGGTGTCTTTTGTTTTCCCATCTATATTCAACAAAGTACCAATGACACTATCACATATATTTTTTTCAACATGCATCACATCAATATTATGTCTCAACCTGAGCTTGGACCAATACTCTAACTCAAAAAAGAATACTCTTTCTAGTCCAGTTTAGCTCATGAGGCTCACGTTGTCACTTTAAATCAGGATTGTCAGGATGTTTTCCAGGCCTAGCTTTATAAACACGATCTAATTGCCGCAATATGTCATCCCCAGAAAATAATCTGGGAGGAGGACGATCTTCAACTAAACCATTAAAATATTTACTCCTTCTCCACTCATGATCCTCAGGCAAATTTCGTCGAGATCCCATAAAACATAATTTTCCTCTCAACCCCTCTGAAGTTACATCTTCGTTACAAACAGGACAAGCTTTGTACCCTTTTGTGCTCTACCTAGATAAATTTCCGTAAGCAGGAAAATCATTTATAGTCCACAATACACATGCCTGCAAATTAAAATTTCTCCCAACAGAGGCATCAAAAGTTTCAACTCCAATATCCCACAATTCTTTTAATTCGTCTATTAATGGACGAAGATACACATCAATGTCTTTCCCAGGTGCTCGAGGACCAGGTATGAGTAATGACATCATTGAATACACTCCTTTCATGCATTTCCAAGGAGGCAGATTGTACGGCACTAGCATAACTGGCCACATACTATAACTAGTGCTCATGTTTCCAAATGGATTAAAACCATCTGTAGCAAGCCCCAACCTCACATTTCGACAATCTGCAGCAAAATCAGGATACTCTTGATCAAAGTGTTTCCACTCGGCAGAATCAGCTGGATGTCGTAGGAAACCCTCTTCATTTTGTCTTCTTTTTTTATGCCATTTCATTTCAGTCGCTGTATGTCTCGACATATACAACCTCCGAAGTCTCGGCTTCAATGGAAAATAACGCAAGACTTTTTGTGGAACTTTCTTGCATTTGCCATCACAAGACTTGTATCTCGGCTCCTTGCACACTGGACATTCATCCAGTTTCTTATTCTCTTTCCCATAAAACAGTGCACAGTCATACTTGCATGCATAAATGGATTCATACCCCAAGCCCAATTCTAGCAACATATTTTTAGCTTCATAGTTCGATGTTGGTATGGATGCACCTTTTGGATATGAGTCATTTAACAATTTCAGTAGATTTTTAAAACTTTTATTGCTCCAACGACCATCTATCTTGATCTGCATTAATTTTATAATATAAGATAATGTAGAGAACTTTGTACAACCCGGGTATAGTTCTCGTTGAGCTTCATTAAACAAATAATCATATTTTTTAATATAAATATCATTCTCATCATCTGTCTCCATACTTATAGCCCCTTGGACATCATTTAACATGTCCAACATCGCAGCATCATCATCATCATCATCCTCACTGTCACTTTCAAAATCCTCATACATTTGGTCGTCTGCGACATCAACACAATCTTCCCCATGCTCAGTCCATGTCGTGTAATGTTGTGCAAACCCATTCACAAGTATATGTCTGCGTATCTCGGGTAGAGAAAGACACGTCAAGGCATTTTGACATTTAACACAGGGGCAACGCGTCTTATTTTCATGATCTAGGTGTTGTTTCGCAGCATCCAGAAATGTTTGTAAACCATTGGTGAAGTCAGGGTTGTGAAACCTATCTCTAACAAACATTCAACTTCTGTCCATCATGTACCTATAATAAAAAACAAGGGGTTCCCCATTGAGAAACAGTATGACCAATCATAAAAAAGATACATAACCAACATTTGTACCTATGATCTAACTTACATGTGGTTAATCGATAATTATAATATTTTTTGTTAATTAAGTGATAAAAATGAGATATTAACGTTGATTATTGATTTATTGAGGTACACTTCAACAGCCATAGAAAAAATCAAGCATAAAAGAACTAGTTAGTACATGGTTAAGCTTCATTATCAGGGAGGACTAGAGAATAATCATTGTCTATGTTTTATACCCATTTTGGGTGGGTGAATATTTCTTTTACCATCCGAAAATACCAACATTAAAGTGATTTTGTCTCAAAATCCTTGAGGGCCAAGTCAAATTACAATATTAAATGATCTGCTCATCTTGGAAAAGGATATAGATTCAAGACTAGTTACTAACATATTTAAGGAAAATGTTTTTCACCTTTTTACATCAAAAATAGAAATAACTAAAATGTTTTGCATTTATCTCATCACCATTTCATTACATTTTTGGGGAGGACCAGAGAATGGTCAGTGTCTATCTTGTGTACCCATTTTTGGTGGGTAAGTATTACTTTTACCACCAGAAAATACCAGCAGTAAAGTGGTTTACTAGTGTTAAATCAAATAACAAAATCTAATAACCACAAAAATGCTAATCTTGGAAAAGAATATAGGTTCAGGGCTAGCTACTAATACATTTAGAGAAAATGTTTTCACCTTTTTACTTCAAGAAAATGGAGGTAACTAAAATGCTTTGCATTATTGTCACTATTTCATTACTTTACTGGGAGGATAAGGGAATGGTCATTGTCTATATATAACACTGACAAAGAACTAGTTACAAAATCAAGCTGTCAAACCAACTCAGAGAGCCACCGACCGTGTAGTTCTTGTACCCCTCCACGCTTCGAGAATTGAATGAGAAAATTAGAGAAGAGATGAGAAAATTAGAGAAGAGATGAGAAAAACTAGGGTCCAAAACTAAATGCATGATATTTCAAGGTAACTTCCTGTTTACTTTTACCTTTTTGTTTCTCTTTTACGCAGTGCCTAGGAGAAATAGGAATTTGAGGTTGGTAGGACAACCGATTTCTCAAGGTAACTTCCTGTTTACTTTTACCCTTTTGTTTATCTTGATGTTGATGATTTGTTTTGTTTGCGCGTTGTACGTGATTCCATGGTTTTTATCCTATAAATAAGCACGTACTACAGAAATCAGTAGATTAAAAAAACCACACTTAAAATAAATTTTCTTTTTTCCAATTTTATCACATTTAAATATATCTATTGTAACTCTCTATTAAGAATTCTAAAGTTTGATAATCTGACTAGACTCCTAATGATGTTAGTCTTGATTGAAACGAAAAGAAAATTTTAAGATATGAACCAAAGAAATGATTAGATAGAAGGCAACTCGAACCAGTAAAAGGATCTAAAGAGGGACAACATATAACAATTGAGGAATATCTGAATAAGGCAACGAGTTTTTTCCTCATTGCATTTATTCTGATATAGTTTATTGGATTAAGCTAAATCAAAGTTGACCAGTGTCTTCTCTAATTGTAATCGCATTTTGTAATGTTACTTTACAGAGCAATATGTGCTACTTCCCTCAATATCCGGCGTCAGAAATGAGGCACTGCAGCACACATTTTGCTTCTCAATATGATTAAAAAACTTCCTAGCTCCAATACATGTGGAAACTAAATTTTACCTAATAAAAAACGTTATACCTGTTAGGTACTAAATTATAGGGTTGGTAGCAGGGACTATGGTTTGCTTACACTGATGCAGAATATCTTTAGTGCATGATATCTATTTAGGTAAGGAAATCCTTTGCCTTGGTATTGAATTCTGCATACATGCAATAGTTGAATATACATTCATACAGCGTATAATTCTAGAATGACCTTGATTTCCTAACGAGATTTTTGACTTAGAACAGCAAATGTATGTTCCAAATTTAAGCTAGATACTCACAATTTTCTAATTGCTGAGTACGTGTTTCATGATTGTATCCAATATCCAACATATGACAGGTCTGTAATTCTATTCTCCCCATCAAACAGTTTGATACACAATAATTAAGGTTAAGATGTCCTGGAAAAAAACTGCTAAATTTTATTACTACCTCAGGTCTGTTAACATGGGAGTGTCAACTCCGTTAATAATATTGTTTATGTGAAAACATGCAATTTTGGATTATAAAAATTAAGTTGTTGTCTACTTGCTATATTGGATCATCTACAAACATATATAAAACATTCTTACTGAACGCAAGCTCATAAATTTTCAAATAAAACATATATAAAACATTGCTATATTGGATCATCTACAAACATATATAAAACATGGATTATTGACATTAAAGTAGACAACTGTTTCTAATAAGAACAAAAGTTAGAAATTATACTACTATGTACATGGTTGTGGAGAGTATTAGATTAATTTTTTTCTTTTAATCCTAAAAATAGTTCATAAATTTTCAAATAAAAATATACTACTTTGTACAGAAAAAATTAGAAATTTCAAATTGGTTGAGGGAGAGCATAAAATATTTAGATCTTGATTACTGTTTTCCTAATAAGAACAATAACTAAAATTACTTCTTTTTTGTATAGAATAGAAAAGCAGAGAGTTTTTCTCTACAGAATTACATGCACAGAATCAACAAGGGATTGGGAATTTTTACAAGTTGAATGAATAATTTAATCTCAAAAATAGGAAAATCCAAAATACCTTTGTGGGGGTGAGGCGATCAGCACATGCAATTGCCAAAAATCGGAAAGGGGTGAGACGCAACCACAATTGCACGAGGTCTTGATCGAGGTCTTAATCGGAAAGGGAAAGCGAAGGTCTCAAGGTCTTGATCGAGGTGAGATCGGAGGTTTTTGAGAGGGGAGGTTTTGGGTCGTGAGGAGGTACTGGTTGGGTGGGAGGCTGAGATTGGAGGGGTTTTGAGGGGAAATAAAAATCACCGAGCTAGGTTTTGGGTCGTGGGGAATTCGCGGGTGGGAGGCTGAGAGCGGAGCGGTTTTGAGGGATAAATAAAAATCATCGCGTTTTGGTAATTATAATTCGTTTCCCCCGTTTTTTTTATCCCTACAAATTTAGTTTCCCACCTTAATTTTAATAAAAATATCTATTTTTAAAAATTTACTTCGAGATATAATTAGCAACTGTTTCAAATAGACAAAAAAGATCAGATTTTATAATAACGGATAAAAATAAAACTCACACCTCAATTCGGGGATCACCAAAACTCAAAACAATAATATTGTCCATTAAAATTCAATTAGAGTTCACCAACTGTACAAATAATCTAATCTAAAATAAGAGATTAAGAGGGCAATTGAAATTAACCCAAGTCATTTAAATTCTGACGATAATCAGACCTTGATCTAGCATAAAACTTGACCTCGATTAATCAAACAGAAAAGATTTATACATATTGAGGAAGAAAATTGAAAGAATCTATGGGCGAAGTAATAAAAGATTGATTCTCAGTACTTACCAAAATTGAAAACTCAATAGATCGGCTAGATGTAAACGAGAACCTCTAAGTTTCAAAGTGCAGCACTGCAGCGCCGTGTTGAGATTGAGGGAGATATTAGGGTAAATCTATTTGAGAGAGATATTAGGGTAAATCTATTCATTCTTTTTTGTTCAAATTTTTTTTTTTAGATTGGTCGCTATTTCTCCCGCTATTTTTTCGATACATGTAATTTCTCCAGCTTCCTCATCAGGACATCCCGCTTTTCTTTTAGATTGACGGTATATATGTTAGCTTTGACTCTTTCTTGTTTAAATTACATATTTCTCCATGTACATAGCATCAAAGAGAGTATATCTATTAAGAGGGTTAAATTTGATATTTTACTTTGACCATGTTTAGAGTTTAGGGTTTAGGGTTTAGGGGTTAGGGGAAAATATAAACATATGTATATCTTTCAGCTATCTTTTCAAAGAGAAAATTTGTTGTGATCAAGATTGAAAGATCTTACTACAATAGGATACCCGGTTGAGGCATTAAAACATACTCAAAGTGGAAATATCTTGCTGAGGCATAAATATCTAATTGAGGCGGATATATCTATACAAGCTTAGAATGTATTATTTAATGAGTGTTCAGAATCGAAGTAATGCCTAAACTTGTGAGGAGAATCTCCCACATCTCAAAGCTAATGTAGTTTATATCTATTTTCATTGACAAATAGGAATAAAATATTTCATTGCATGTTTGGTTTATATCTATTTGGCGGGTTTTGCACATTTTCCACCAATCTAATAATAAGGAAACTATTATTTCCTTGCTAATTGATTCTTTTAACAAGGAAAGGGTTCCTCGTAAAACAGAAAAAAAATTAGTGAGGAAACATTCAATTTGTTGTTAATGAATTTGGCTTGTGTTGCACATTTTTTAGCCAAATTAATAATGAGAAAACTATAATTTCCTCGCTAATAGGTTCTTTTTGTCGACAAAACGGTTCCTCATAAAAAAAACTTTTAGCGAGGAAGCCTTAAATTTGTTGCTATTGAAATTGGTGGATTTTGCACATTTTCCGCCAAACTAATAACGAGGAAACTATTATTTCCTTGCTAATTGGTTTTTTAACGAGGAAACAGTTCCTCGTAAAACATAAATTTTAGCGAGAAAACCTTTAATTTGTCGTAAATGAATTTGGCAGGTGTTGCAAATTTTTCTGCCAAATTAATAGCGAGTAAACTATGATTTCCTCGCTAATAAGTTCTTTTTAACAAGGAAACAGTTCCTCGTAAAAACAAAAACTTTTAACGAGGAAGCCTTAAATTTGCCACCATTGAAATTGGAGGGGTTTTTTTTCACGCCAAACTAATAATGAGGAAACTATTATTTCCTCGCTAATTGATTCTTTTGATAAAGAAATGGTTCCTCACAAATTATGGATCTTCAGCGAGGAGATCATACTTTGT